TTAGATTCCTTACAGTGTATATATTTCAATAATTTTTTTTCTTTTAGAGTGATATGTTAAACTGACAGTGTTTTCCTTCCTGAAACTTTTTGTAAGTTTGTTAAAGTAGTAATTACTATCTTGTAACTATAATGGCTTATTGTGTATTCAATGTTTATCATTAAAAACATTAATTATTGTTTATAGCTATTGTCTATATTCCAAACTAAACTAGAGTCTTTTGCCCTTTATTTCTTAAATGTCTTATTTGGTAAACTATTAAGCCATTATACTGTAATGTAAATTTAAAATATGTTATCTCAAAAGGGGTGGAAGGGTTGGCACTGTGGCATACGGATAAAGCCACCATATGCAGAGCCCTTATCCCATGTGGGTGCTGCTTCAAGTCCCAGCTGCTCCACCTCTGATCTAGCTTCTTGGTAACACGCCTGGGGAAGCAATGGAAGATGACCCAAGTCCTTGGGCCCCTGCACCCACATGAGAGACCTGGATGAGGCTTCGGAATCCTGGCCTCAGCCTGGCCCAGTCCTGACCGTTGCAGTCATTTGGAGAGTGAACCAGTGGATGGGAGATCTCTTTCTCTCTCTCTCTCTCTTTCTGCCTCTCCTTCTCTATAACTCTGACTTTCAAACAAATAAATAAATCTTTAAAAGAAAAAAGAAACAGAGAGAGAGAAGGAAGAGGGTGCAGGAAAGAGGGGGAGGGAGAAAAGGAATATTATTATGTTTTTAGAATTGTATCTGTAAATTATATTGAATCTGGTAAAAACTAATTAAAAATTTTTGAAAAAACTTTTTAAATTAAAAAGATCTTTTAAACCTAAAGTTTGCCTTATTTTTAACATACTTTTCAAAATGTATCTCTGAATGGCAAATGGAAAACATGCTGTAAAATGCACTTGTAATTTTCATGCAAATGGTAGCTGAGATAAATTGCTAATTCTGATTTCAAACCACTGTGTGATTAGACAGTGAGAAAATAAAACTTAAATCTGTAGAAGAAAAAATCACACTCATATTATCACAAAATGCCAATCAAATAGAGATGCATGACATATTTTCTAATAGTACAGATCATTAATGAAACAAATGTCAGTCTAATGGAATCAGAAAAGCCTGGAAATGTGTTCATAATAATTTGGAGTTACATTTTTAATTGATTTTGTTCCTGAACAACCAATTAGTATTCATATAGACAAGTAAGGTATAAGTGAAATGGATTACAATATTTGAGCTACTATTTTGGTAACTAAAGAGTTGTCAGTCAGACATACTATCAAGTTATGTATGTGTGACATAAAATTTTTCTACAAGGTAACCAATATTCTTTCAATAGAATGCTTTCTGCCTCCATTTAATTTTGAAAGTGAGTTTTTACTAAAACAAATACAGTGAAAACAGAATTGTTTTGATAAAATGTAATGAATACAGCATAAAATGATGTAAACCAATTATATTTCTCTCACATTAAATTATGACAATTATTTTTCGGTATTATTGTTGCAAGTCTGCCGTAAGTATATTTACTTGGAATTTATCCATCATGATTCTTGCCAAATACAGACAAGCAAATAAACAGCCTATTACTAATTTGGTTGACATGCTCTATGTATAACTTTTCTTAACTTTTAGGTACTGAAGTTTCCTGAATTATAAGAATTGAATATCATATATGAAAACTGCAGTTTTCATGAATCCAACCAATAATTAGTCTCAGCAATAGCTGCTAGACAGCAAACCAAAAAACAAAAGTTGACACTGATAATAAACAGCAATCCATTAAAAATATAATGGCACTGCATTTTATGTAACTGTCAAAATATGCATATCAAGTATGGCATGTTATTGGATATTTGGTATTTCATAAATATAAAGACATGTAAAAATTAGAGTCTCATACAGAACTCATGTATATTATTATCTTCTAGTTTTTTGTGATATTTTCATTAGTTAATGCAAATTAGCCACAGGTCTTTGGTCATAACCGTAGGAGAGTTCATTCTTTTCCATTCACTGTAATCACTTACTGAGTAGTCAACCTGACAAACTGTGCAAGATTATTCTAGGGAAATTAGCTCTGTACATTCAGGCAACCCAAACCTTCAGAGCAACATGCACTCCAGCCCAGTAAAAACTGAATTAAGCAAGATTAAAACGTAAGTTTTATTTTGGTGTGAAATCCATGTATATACTCTTCATCACCCACATATTCCCATGATCCTCTGAAGCCCATAGCCATGAAATTGAACACTTTGTGCCCCGATTGAGCACATACACGTATATATGCATGCATTTATTTACGTTGGAGAGGATTTCTCAAAATGCTAACACATATTCATGCTAATTCAGAACTAATGACTTTCGAGGATTTAATTGAGGCCATATATATAGAAATTTCTGTACAGTGTTTGACATCTGCTAGAGTTTAAACAAAATACAGGAATAAAAAATATAACACAGGGGGCCGGCGCTGAGGCTCAGTAGGTTAATACCCTGACCTAAAGCACCGGCATCCCATATGGGCTCTGGTTCTAGTCCCATCTGATCCTCTTCCGATCCAGCTCTCTACTATGGCCTGGGAAAGCAGTGGAAGATGGCCCAAGGCCTTGGGCCCCTGCACCCACGTGGGAGACCTGGAAGAAGTTTCTGGCTCCTGCCTTCAGATTGGCAGAGCTCCGGCCATTGCAGCCATTTGGGGGAATGAACAATCAGATGGAAAACCTCTCTCTCTGTCTCTACCTCTCTCTCCCTGACTTTGTCTTTCAAATAAATAAAATAAATCTTTAAAAAGATATATAACATGGAAGTGGCCATTAGAGAAATAACTTCAGCATTCAGTGTTATTTAGTTATTGAGTCTGAGCAGAAAAAGTCAACTTGCAATGCAAGGAATTATACTTTACGTCTGTCACTTCCAAATGGGAAGAACCAAGAGTGTCTCTTCCAACATAGGAGAAGAGAAGACTGTGTGATAAAAGCAGCCCGATCTTACTGCTTTATGTCTAGTAAGACTTTCTTTTTTGCTTACAAACCAAGGGTGACGCTCATATTCAGAAGCATACAACAGCACAGGTGTGCTTTCCTCTCCACAGTAACACTGCCCTTCTAATTGTAAGATACATTTTAAGCTCTTTAAAAACTGAGCTTTCCCAAGTTGACAAAAGTTTGTTATTCGTAAAGCAATAATTATTTAAATCTTCAAACACTGCTTGTTTTCTTGACAGAGAGATCTAGAGAGCTACTCATAAATATAAATGAAGAAGCCAATCACAAATTTAAACAATATTTGTAAAATTCTGCAAGGATGTTCAATGGGAGGCACAATATGTTAACACGCTATATCTGGAATATCACTGAAGAGCAGTTCTATATATGAGTGCCTGGATAGCTCACCCTTTCTGTCTAACATGTAGGACTGGGTTCATTTTCGGGGAAATTCAAGGAAGGTTACCTTAGAAAACACCTGTAAACTCACAAACTATGCAATTAATAGAGATTAGATATTCACCCATTTAAAAAGAGACAATCTAGAAGCTAACATCATTTGAGGATCCAATAGCATATTAAATATTACACCAAAATTTGTCTACTGATTCCCATATAAAAATAATATTGGGGCACTTAAAATTATGATTTATACAGTATTTCAAAATTAGAGCATGTTGACTGTCAAATTGTTAATCAGAAAGAGAAAGAGAACATGGAAACTCTGAAAACATGAAATATGTACCTCCATGGATATGGAGAAAAAGATCAGTTTTCATTGGAATGTTTTGTATGTTAATATAACTTTCGGTCACTGGACTCCTTGAGTTGAGATCAACATAAATGGAGAGAGGCACTAGATTCAGAGGATTAGAGAATTAAAAACTTCCCCTAGAAATATTACTGACAACTTAATAAGCACGTCCTAGTAAATTAGATTAACAATTAATGAAGAGTCTGGAAAAAATACTAGCTCAGAATGGGTTATAATATTAAATGAGAAGGGATTTCACTTTTCAATCACTAATCATCAGGGAATGTAAAATATCTGACTTGCACAATATTGTTGCCAAACAATAGGTAAGCAATGGCTTCAATGGTTAAATGTTTTATTTAATTATTGACATTTAAAACCATTTTAAAATAGTTATTCATAATTTCAGTATGACAGCATCTCAAAATGATTCTAACAGTAAAGAACACTTCAGAAACAACCATAAAACCCTAATGTTACCATACATTTCTGATTTACATAGGAGTATGTAATTTGGTAGCCACGTGAGAGTTCTGAAACAAGTGATGGCTAATAACAATGAAGAGCAGTGAGCTTCGTCTTGACATTTTTATTGCATTATAAAAGGAAGCATGTTCCTAGACAGTAGTTGGAAAAACATGATTTCTACTATATCAGTTGATACGATTTATATGCCCCAAGGCAATAAAGTATCAAGAAGTAAGCTACATTACACTTACTTCTCCTGAATCAGGGCTACAAATATGACTGAAGATTAACCTGAAACACTGGAGCCCCTCAAAAGAGGAAGATCTTCCCTCAGTATTCTTAAAATGTACACACATCATTTAGATGAACACTGTGCAACACATCTTGGAATACAAATTCCCTTTTGCAACACAAAAGCATAAAACATTGAGCTAATATGACTGGTTTGAGGATAAATATGCATAATAAGTTCACATATAAAATATCAAGCCATACTTCGCTTAGCTGAAAACGAACACAAACAGTTTGGGAATCCTGCAAGGGCAACCTGATATAAGTCATTTGAAAAAAACGTATCTAGCAAAATAAATAAAAAGAACCACATCTCTTTTTAGTATTCACTGATATAGATACACAATATGCCCAAACTCAGAGCCTTGTGGTCCCAGACAATCCCCCAAAGATTTTAAGTTATCACTATTTTCTCATAGTAACTTTTATTTTCAAACTAGCATCACATCATTTTCTGTCTCCTATGAAGTTTTATAACTATTATTTAAGAAAATAATTCCTTACCTTTGATTCTTGAACTTTCTTGACTTTTCTCCTGCTGGAATTAAAACAGAAATAGATCAAAATCCTTAAATAAAATTTGATCAACAATCTGATATAAAGTATCACTATAAACACTTGTCAAAATGTTTTTACATATATACTCAGGAGATATTATAACACAATTGTCACCATGAAAACAACATTTACATAAAGTTATTAGAATAGTAGCAATTCATGGTCAACATATATTTCTCTAAAAACAATATATTATATTCATATGGGTTTATAAATAATCACATAGCTAATGGATATTAAATAAATACTCATGCCTCTCAAATGCCTTTGGCCATTCTGTTTCAATCCAACACATATTAAATGATGTCCTCAGAATTTATTATCAATGGCTATATATTAATCATAAGTTGCTGGTGAAGGAAAAAGTTGAAATGTGAACTTAGTGGACACAAAAGTTTTATCAATCAGCTATTTTTCAATTTAATTTAATATTGGATCCGACCTTCCTTATTTAAGGCTAACATAGTGGACACAAAAGTTTTATCAATCAGCTATTTTTCAATTTAATTTAATATTGGATCCGACCTTCCTTATTTAAGGCTAACATTGACAACAATTCTACCATTTATTCAATGGCTGCTCCAGTCTGACCTATCTCTCAATTTGACAAAGCCTTTATTAGTTACTAGGCAACCCTTGGTGAATTAGCTTGCTTTCAAGTTTTAAAGTAGATATTGTAAACTGTCTAACTTCTCACTTAATATTCCAGGATGGTTTATTCTGTCTAAAAGTTTAAAGGTCTCACAATGAAAATGATTTTGAAAAATATTTCTAAAATACATTGCAATCATACACACATTAAACTACAGAATTATGTTTATGCCAATACATGTTAGTTAGAGTTTTTAAAAGGACAGATTTTGTGGCAATCATGAATACAATATTCAGATTATGAATTGTATACTTATTGAGCCAGCTAATTCAATGATGTAATTCTGTCAGACTAAGACTTGCTGTTCCAGTTCTCTCATTATAACACATCTAACCTCTGTACTTCAATATCTTTCTCCTCAATGATAGTTAACTGATTTCTTAGCTCTGATTTATTTTTAATGTAGAGTATCTTGATGATTAAAGTTAAAAATTTAAATATACAATATAAACATTTAGGATATAATTCCTTCATAATCTTAGTTAATTAGCAGGCTACATTTTCCAAAGGAGTATATAGTAATTAAAATCTTTCATTCTTCTTTTAACATTCATTCATTAATTTATTCACTCATATAGTTATTCAATCTTTCACCAAATATGTATGGATCACTTTCCGCATCCATGCACTACTTCAGATGATGAGGTTTAAGGATGTATCAAAATAACAAACAAAACAATCATGTCCCTATGGAGCATATTGCAAGTATGATAGTAAGTTCAACTCAGAAGATGGTTTACCACAGAAGGTGATAATGTTGGCATCCAGTTATATTAATTATACATTCCACCACAATAAAAAAAAAATCATGAATAAAGTTCTGAATTAAATGAGTATGGTACAAGCAAACAGAGAAAATATCTAGGTGAGAAAAATAAATGCAAATGAGCTGAGGTACTGGAGGTTTTTGTGTTGTCAAAAATTCAAGGAGAATAGTGTTCTTGGACTGGACTAAGCAAAGACAGTTTAGCAGGAAACACCATCAGGGATGTAAAAGGACAAATAGAATAGCACTTGGGGGCACTGTTAGGACTTTGGTTTTTACTTTGAGAGAGCTGAGAAGGAATTGAATACGTTTTTTAAAGTAAGTAACACTGAATTATATTTCAGTAGAATAATTTTCTTAGCTCTAAGATCTAGTGATTGGGGCCAATGTCATGCACAGCAGCTGAACTACCATCTGTGATACTGGCATCCCATATAGCACCAGTTCAAGTGCACGCTGTTCAGCTTCAGATCCAGCTCCAAGTGCTGGGGTTCTGCAACTCAGGCCGTACAACTGGATGGAATTTGAGGCCCCTTTGTCTTTGGCTTTGACCTGGTCCAGGTGTGGCTGTTGCAGCCATTTCAGGAGTGAACCAGCAGACAGAATCTCTCTCTCTCTCTCTCCCCTCTCTCTCCTCTCTCTATCTCTATTAGTACCTTTGCTTTTCAAATAAATCTTTTATAAAATTTGTAAAAAAATAAGTACTTTTCTAAAACATTCAATTATTAATTTGAAATACAGAGCAAGAGAGAGAGGGAGTAAAAGACCTGCTATCAGCTACTTCATTCCCAAATGGCTACAAAAGCCAGATATGCTCCAAGCTGAAGCAGGAAGCCAGGAACAACATCCTGGTCTCCTACTGTCTGGTCGAGACCCAAGTACTTGGGCCATCTTCCACTGCCTTCCCAAGCACATGATCAGGAAGCAGTATTGAAAAGAGAGCCCAGGGGCGGCGCCATGGCGCACTAGGTTAATTCTCTGCCCGTGGTGCCGGCATTCCATATGGGAGCCAGGTTCTAGTCCTGGTTGCTCCTCTTCCAGTCCAGCTCTCTGCTGTGGCCCGGGAAGGCAGTGGAGAATGGCCCAACTCTTGGGCCCCTGCATACACGTGGGAGACCAGGAGGAGGCTCCTGGCTCCTGGCTTCGGATCCGCACAGCTCCAGCTGTTGCGGCCATTTGGAGAGTGAACCAATGGAGGGAAGACCTTTCTCTCTGTCTTCTCTCTCACTGTCTGTAACTGTGTCTGTCAAATAAATAAATAAAATCTTTAAAAGAAAAGAAAAGAAAAGAAAAGAAAAGAAAAGAAAAGAAAAAAGAAAAGAAAAGAGAGCCCCTGGGACTCACCACTAGTGCTTTGAGATAGGAAGCTGGTATCAGAGGCAGTGGTTTAACCTGCTGCATCACAATGATGGCCACCTCAACAGAATCATTCTGTCTATTGAGAATATTTCAGCAAATTAGGGACAGGATCGTGGGGATAGGTACTAAAGGGAGCATTGCAATAATCCAGGTAAGCAGTCACTATGGCATAGAACAGCAAAGTAACAGCAGATTTAAATTATCCCGTTAGAACTCCTAGAGCACCCCAAAGGTCTGCCTCCCTAATAAAAAGGATGGAGATGAGGAACATGGCCAAATAAATAATCTGATCTCTTCTTCACTGATCTTCTAACAGTGCCAAACGCTTGGTGTTTTCTTCTGTTTCTCCAATACTTGTATTTAGTCTTCTTTACTGATCATTCCTCACCTCCTCAATTCTTAAATATTGCTTTCCTTGTCATCGGGTTCTTATCTTCCTACCATCTGGCTGCATCCATCAGTGATCTTATCTAGTGTTCTGGCTTTAAATGCAACATTATGCTAAGAACACACAGATTTATACATCTAACTAAACATCACCATTGGACATGAGATTCAGAAATTCAACAGTTTTATTAATTTATCCAATTGAATAAATAATAATGTTGCCTACATGCCACAAGCACAATTGAATTTCTGATCTTCCCTTACTCTTTTGACCATTTTTCCCATCTTAGAAAGGATTTTATCTTTCTAGTTGTTTAGACTCTTGTTAGTCTCTTTCTTAAGAGATAATGGACCTCAGACTATCATGGTTTTGATTACTGAGCATTCTGGCTTTGAAATTACATGGACTGTCACTTTGGGGATTAAAAGTAAGCAACTGGCTATAATATCTGGATCTCATAGGAGATATTTCAACAAGACACAGATTTTTTAATTACCACTCTGTGTAAATCATCATTTTTAATCTGAGAAATATATAATTAAGTCAAAGAATCTAGAATCAAGTAGTGCAAAATGATACCTAATTAAACATAAAGTTGAATTAGCCAATAAAAGAGAGTGGAAAATTCTGGCGAGTAAGCAATCATAGAATACATTATTATTTTTTTTATTTTTTTGACAGGCAGAGTGGACAGTGAGAGAGAGACAGAGAGAAAGATCTTCCTTTACCATTGGTTAACCCTCTAATAGCCACTGCAGCTGGCGCACTGCGCTGATCCAAAGCCAGGAGCCAGGTGCTTCTCCTGGTCTCCCATGGGGTGCAGGGCCCAAGCACTTGGGCCATCCTCCACTGCACTCCCTGGCCACAGCAGAGAGCTGGACAGGAAGAGGGGCAACTGGGACAGAACTGGCGCCCTGACCAAGACTAGAACCTGGTGTGCCGGTGCCGCAGGCGGAGGATTAGCATATTGAGCCATGGCCCTGGCCAGAATACATTATTTTAGTAGGAGAACTTTCAACAAAAAACAATTTCCTTAGATGTCAAGTACAATTATGACTAAAAATAACCATTAGATTAATTGACAGGGAAGGAATCACTGCATTTATGAAGTGTTTTTTTGTTTCCAAATGAGCTTCAAAGTCAAAGGAGAGGGTAACGAGGAAATATACATGAAATGGTAGAAATTGGATGTGAGAAACATGATCAAGATAAAAATGGCCTGAGATGCTGTGTAACCTGAGCAAAGCAAGGCCACACAAGTGCTGTGTTTGCATTCTGTCATTTTTCTTTTTTACTGTGTTTAGTTTACAATATAGTTGTTATTTCAGTGGGATTTGAGAATACCTGAGTAATGGAAGAAACACAGTAGACAAGGGAAAGATTAAAAGAGATGGATAATATGACTGATGTTATAACGTTACTAAAAAGATGTATGTGGAACAACACACATGAGAGTGGAAAAAAGTTATGTAAGACAAGGATCAGTTCTTGTGATGTAACAAGTGGTACAGGCTGTTTTAGTTATGCATATAGGAGTCATGTAGGTTTCATACAACAAAAAACACATTCAGTATGAACCAAGACTTTTCTTTAGGAAATTGAAGGAAAAGTGTTTTGCTGAACATTGGGCACAGGGCATTTATTTATTTATTTTTAAGATTTACATTATTCATTTGAAAAGCAGAGAGAGAGAGAGAGACCAAGAGAGAGACAGAGAAACAAAGATCTTCCATCCTCTGTTCACCCCCCAAATGGCTGCAATGGCCCCGACTGGCCAAACTGAGCCAGGAGTCAAGGAATTCTACCAAGCACCAC